CCAATGCTCGTTTTCATTTTTTTCTTGGATTTGGTTTTGAATTTTGAAAGCCCCCCCCCCCCGGCTTGGAACCGTGCCGGACGGCGGCAATCACTGCACAAAGTGCAAGGGAAAAGTTGTTTGTATTGCAATGTTGTACACCATTTTTTTTTTTCAGTTAGAAAAAAAAAATCGAAATTCCAAAAACAATCAACCTGTAATGACGTGTAAAATCACAGATTGAGAACTGCTATTTTCTGAGTTTTGCCGCTGGATTGAGTGACTTGCTGAGATTCCCATATTCTGCTGAGATTTCTAAGTAGCAAGTACTTGTGTGTCATGATTGTTGAGTTTCCGTGTGTTTACCTGACTGCATGATTGCTTAGGTGTGGGTGTGGGTGTAGGTGTGGGTGTGGGTGTGACCCGCCAGGGTACTTGCATGCTGTGAAGGCCGTTGGGCCTGATGCTTCCCTGTGGCCATGCTTTTGTGAGAGTGCAGCGCGAACTTAAGAAGTAGGCTAGGCCCGTGTAGAACGGAAAACACTCAAAGTAGTGGGTAGGTAGGCAGAAGAAGACAAAAAGTTAGTAGTCTGAGTCTAGGGCCTGCAGTGAGGGTTATCAGACTGCAATGATGTGTTCCCTCCAAAACAGGGAAGGGGTACCGGTAGCTTGGGAGGTCGCGCAGCCTCGAAAGTCACCGCTCGAAGAAACAAGCAGGGCGGTAGATCTTCAGGGAGAGCGAAGAGCTCCTACTCATTTGCAGCGGGCAAGTTGGCAGACCGGTTGCTGGAGCGAGCGCTCAACCAAACACTGCTGGGGAGGAAGAAGGCGGGCTTGGCTCTTGACCTTGGCTATGGTGGAGAGGACTAAGGAGGAGACTCCAGGGAAGTAGGAGTAGGAGTAGGAGGAGGGAGACGGTGAGCGAGAAGGAGAGTGGCAGGGGTGCTTACCTGGCTGGCTATGGTGGTCTGCGTCTTCATCGTCGTGGTTGGCGCTGCACCTGGAAGGCCCCAGTTGGGGTTGGCACCTGCAGCTGTTTGACAGCTTCGCTTCGCGCCTTCCGACTCTTAACTGCCCGGAGTCAATCTCACCCATTTGTAGGTAGAGTACTGATTTTCTGACCTTGCACTGTGCTCAGCAGACGCTTTGCGGCTGATCTGATGCCAGATAAGAGAATCGTACACATCTGGAAAAGGGTTAGAGGTGGCTGTGTCTTGTCTAGGATGAGCACTTTGTGCCTTCTACAACCTTCTTCAGTGAACAATAGAACAAAATCATCTGCTGGCATAAAACAGATTTCTCTCCATCTAAGGTCGCAGTTGCCTTCGCATTTGTTTCTTGAAATGAAATCCATCAGCTCTGCGCCTCTTTCTTATTTACAAGTGATCCAGTCAGTCTCGTATCCGAGAAGACTCTGGGGTAGTGCTAGGCTTGTGGCCATAGTAGGAGGTACACATTAGCTTTGCATTGTCCTTTGAACATTGGAGCTTCACGCCGATAATCCGCCATAGCCACCTGCTCGACCAAGTAGGAGGAAGGTGTATGAGATGGCTATGATGGACCCTTTGAGTGGCTTGTAGTGAGGGGAGGATTCAGACATTGTTTCTGGTTCATTCTTTTACTGTTATTATTGTAATGAAGTTTTGGGGGAGTAATTGGAGGTTGGAGATGGGCGAGATGAAGGGGGATTGCCATTGGTCTTTGCTGGTGTTCATCTTCTTCATCTTCTTAATCTTCTTCATCTTCTTCATCTTCTTCATCTTCTTCATCTTCTTCATCTTCCTCTTCATTATCTTCTTCTTCATCTTCTTCTTCTTCTTTTTCTTCATTTTCTTCTTCTTCTTCTTCTTCTTCTTCTTCTTCTTCTTCTTCTTCTTCTTCGTCTTCCGTCGTTCATATTTATTCTTCTTCTTCTTCCGTTCATATTTCTTCTTCTTCCTTTGTCTATTTCTCTTTCCAAGTTCTTTCATTTCAGTTGCAATTAAACGGCATTGTCTTTCTTAGAGTTATTAACTGCAAGATAGCCAGGATCATAGCAAACCGATGTCTCTGCCATACAATAATGTTTCTATTCTCTTTTTCTTCTTTTTTCTTTGATTTTGGTTGCAAATTTTGACAGCGTCCTCGGGCAGAAGTTGTTTGCATTGCAATGTTGTACAACATCTTTTTTTCTGGATTTTTCTGTTTTTTGAATATTTGAAATTCTGCAAAAATTAGAGAAGCAGGCGACGTTCACAGGCGGCCAGACAACCAATAGACGGCCTCTGTGCTCTTTGCCACAAGAGTGTCTCAGAAGACCTACTACACTGCTTGCTCTCCGGTTCAAAGGCGACACACACAGATTTGGAAGAGAACGGAATCATTGTGGGTTTCACTAACAGGAGCACCCCTACCAGGTAATAGCATTACACGACTAACTGGACTACAGGAGCCAAACCTAGCTGTCACTTGGCAAACGACCTTTTATCGGAGACTTCGACCTCTCATACTTTGGATAATTTGGAAGAGAAGATGTAAGGAGACCATAGCTACCCACACCGTTCCCGAGCCGGAAGCTTGGCAGATTCTTCTTCACCTCCTACAGGCTGAATATCAAGCAGATTGGAACAAAGCGGCGAAGCTCAACAAAACAGACCCCACGAAGCAACAGGAAATTGTCGACAAGTTTAAAAGAGAACGCCTGGGTGAGCATCCGAAGTCCAACCCTTCATCGAGAAGCCAGACAGCATAAGACAAATGGAAGGGACAAACAGAAATACAAGTTTCGTCCAACATCGTCGACACCAGTACCAAGGGTGGAAGAAAGGGCATGTATGCGGATCCCCGCATTGGCAAAGAAGACTCAATAGAGAGGCACAAAAACTTATTTGCAGCGCACCCTAGTCGTCACCTGACCCCGTAGTATCAATACACGCCCCCTACCCCCCCCCACACACACACCAACCACTACACCTTACTCATCCCCTACTCCTCCAGCACAACCCTCATGCTAAGAGTACTCTCCCCATGGCACGACTTATCCCAAACCGTCACACACCCCTCTATTACCACTCTACACTGCAAATCTCAACTCCAAACTAAGGCAAGCATCGGAAGGGAGTAGACTTTACCCACCGAAATAAGAAGAAGAATAACTCAAACCCTACCACCCGGATCAACCCAACAGTAATATTCTTTCACTCCCAACCCTCCTGAACGGCACTTACCCCCAACACCACCACCTACAGCCCAATATCACCTCAAGCCCTCCCTACAGAGCTACCCCCCACCCCCCGCAGAGTGCACAGTCACACCGCCCGTTTAGCACACGATACACTGTCTACCCTCCAACCAGGCGAGGAAACGCAGTCCCAATAGAGAAACAAACAACGAGTAGCCCAACCCATTGATCCCCACATTGCAGACTCTCACACAACTCTCATCCCCAAGTCAATTGATTGTCTTGGTAATCATTTAGAATAAATTGATATATCATCTATTATCATTCTTTATTTGGTGAAATTATAATTAATTAATTAATAATTATTTATTAATTATGATTTTATTCACGCCACTAGCGCCACATAGCGATTCAGAGGAAAATCCTCCGACTCAGTACTCGAATCTATCCGATTCTCGAACATTTCTCCCCTGCCGGAAAGCAGTTGATCACCCCCGATAGAGAAAGAGAAGGAACTCGTTTTCCGAGCTCCGTACGATCCCCAAGAGGGGATGCTGAACGCCGGCCAAATCTCTGTAGATTAAATTGGATAAACCGTATGCTGATTCCCTGCGCAAGACACGCGAAAGCAAGATCACAAAACTGCAACCACGCAAGTAGAAGCACCAACACAACATGGTGATCTCGTACATAGAGGCATTAAGGAAAGAGCCCAAGCAGCAGAAGCCAACAAATCCCGCAAACCCGGGGAATGAGCCCACAGGACCAGGCACAGTCCCCACCGGGAACACAAGCGCTACCTTCAGGCAACTCACAAAAAGGCCCACAATCCTCAACCTTCGAAGCGGCCTCGAGGACCCTGGCCCAAAAGGCAATGGATTTCCTCATCTCAAGCACTCAGATCAAATCCAAAGTGAATATTATCCAACAGACGATCCCCTCAGACGAAGGAGAAGGAGAAAAGCAGGTAGAAATATGGGAATATCCGGAAGAAGATGAATCCAACTGTGAAGAGGTGTTTAACAAGCACGCAGTCTTGTTTAATTTCCCACAGAAGTGCGCAGACATGTCCCCGAATGAAAAACGATCTTTGGTCCGGGACATCCTCAGATCCCTTGAGGAAATTCCGGGCACAGAACCAGACGTCACATACCATAAACGAACGCGCAACACAGTCATGATTGTCACCCTGGATAAAGCTTACGCACGCTACCTAATCTCCTTGAACAGTCTCAAATGCAGAAGGGGAGTAGTCACAGTTACAAACTAGAAACCCAGACGAGCACCGCAACCCGATGCCTCAAGGCACAGACAAACCATGCTGCGGAACCACTTCTGGATTCAGTTTGATAAGATCCCGGAGGGCTTGCACAACTTTGTGGAACACAGGTTGGCGAAAGCATATCCAAACAACCCAGTCATCGAATGGCTGGCTTCAGGACCTGAATTCCTAGCACCCAATCATGACTCCAGAATCGCATGTCTTGAAGTCCCTTCAGGCATCCCCCCATGGTTCCCAGATACCTGGCTATTCCAAAAATCCAATGGCCAGAAGTTGACAGTCTTTCTCCCTACCAAAGCCAACCCAAGATGCTTCAAGTGCAGAGGAAAGGGTCACCTGGGCACTGAAAGGAGTTGTCCGCTCAACAGGGACAGAGCAGGGAAACCAGGCCAGATCCAAGCTAACCTGGTCGAATACGAAACAATCTCAGGTTTGTGGTTCGTCGACGACCCTACCTACCGTGGATGGGTCTTCGACGACAGGTTGGAAGACCCAAAATGGGTATGGACACTACAGGGTGAACCATCTGTCCAACCTGATGTATACCCACCACATGGCAGTAAATGGCAAACAAAGGGGGCGAGGAAAATCGAGGACAGGGAAGGAGGTTACCTAAAAAAGCAAATCCTGGACTCGCAAGGGATTATGGAAGACAAGCACAGGAAAGACACCTTGCAGGAATTAATCAAAACAAGCAGCTCAGCTGAAAAAGCCTATTTTGAGAATCTGCATGCACGAGACAAGATCCTACAAGCAACCAATACGCAGAATCCCGCGCAAATCACCAAGGAATCTCAGAAACCTCAAGGGGACAGCTCATCCAATGGCCCACACAAAAGGCTCAAAAGAAAAGCCAATCAATCCCCACCAAACTCGCCTGCCCACAGCACAACACAGGGCAAAGGCATCAAACTCAAGGGTCTCGACACAGCAATGGAGGAGATGGAAGCGGACTCTGACAAGAAGCAAGAAGACCAGGAGGAAGAAGGAGGAGGAAACACGGACAGCAAAGGGAAGAAACAAAGAGGAACCCAGGAAGGCTACAACAAAGAAGGAGAAGAAATGATGAAGGAAGGAGATGAGGAAGACACAGCGGGAGGAAGAAGTGAACAGGGAGAAGGAAAAGAGAACAAGGAAGAAGACGGGACTATGGCAGATGACAACATGGCACAAGACTCTGCAGAGGAAAACGCACGCATGGGAAGAGTTCAGGATGCGGCCAAAGGAATAAGCGAGGAAGATCAAGAAGACACCCACAGTTGGCTTGCATAATATGTCAAGGGGCTAGAAAGAGAAAGAGAAAGAGAATTCAAAATCAGAGTTGCACACAAAAAACACATATGCAACCTGCAGAACTTCAACCCGACACAGCAAACACTGAGCAATTTGTTCCCCACAGACAATCAATACGAAATCCTAGAAAAGAAACAAGAATTGTCATAATTCTTCGTTGAACGGTACGACGCCAAACTGGCAGCTGCACCCAATCAGGGAAACCAAACACTGAACAGCCTCATCTGGCCCACGTCCTACATTGGAGGAGAAAGAAGATCTCGATAGGCAAAAGGAGATCCTCAAAGCACAAATCACTGTGCTGAGGGATCGGAAGAGGGAAACAATCGAAATGACAATCAATCTGCAAAAGTTGGCAGCAGGTCAAAATGCAAAAACATTCACAGCAGCCAAGCTAGAAGCCAAAAGAGGATGCAGGAAAAGAGCGATAATCCCCTACAGATGGAACACATAACATGAGGATTGGGAAGTAGCGGTAAACAAGTCATGGGCTCTCATTGCACTAGCCAAACCAAGCAAAAAAGCACTAACAATCAACATCTCAGAAGATGCTCCCATGAACGCTCATATCCTGGGAACATGGGGGGAGTGGAGAGAGGAGTGGATTGGCGCAACGGGAGACCTGATGATCAGCGATCTCAGGCCGTATATGGTTCGGTATTCAATGGAGGCTGAGACCAAAGACCACCTCACATGGAAACCACAGAAGGTAGTCCAGGCAATCCCCTACGGCCTCTTAGGCAGTGACATCCCTGCAGAACGGGCAGCAGTTGCAGCGTCAATTGGAGAGGGACATGGGCTCTTCACAGACGAACAGGAGCATCTGGCCAAGCTCTGGAAGTGGGCGCCCGGGTGGTTAGAATCCACAACACAGAACCCTTCGTCACCACCCCCAACTAAATAATATGGACCAAGAAAGGCAATGGTAGTCCTACAGCCAACCCTCCATGACATCACCGAGCCACACAACTCAGACCGCACAAGTGGGCAGAATCCGACATTTCAAACTCAAGTCGAAGAAGCTTGAGTTAACAATGATGTCATGGAACGTTAACGGGCTAGCGATAATTATATCCAATGGCGAAAAATGGGACAATATAACCAACTACCTCAACTGGTTCTCAAGGAACCCACCAAACATAGTATGCATACAAGAAACACACCTAACCAACTCAGCAAAGCACCAAGCAATGATAAATAGAATACACTCCAAGCTCAAGCATGTAAAAGCAAGTCAATGGGCCACCTCAACAAAAATCGGCTCAGCAGGAACAACCATACTCTGGAATAGTAACTCAAGAGCAGCCAACCACATTAACATCATGGAATGTCAAATAGACGTTGAAGAAGGAAGATGGATTGAAATTCACTTCACATACAAAGAGGAATCCTTCCAACTAATAAACGCATATGCACCCAATGACCCTACTCAAAGAAGAGACTTCATACAGCGTATCTCAGCAAGATGTAACATGCAAAAACACATGCTACTAGTAGGAGATTAGAACACGGTACTTGACCCATTAAACGACCGGATATCTACACAACAGATAAATAGGGAAGAAACCTGGTTAAGTGAAGCCCAGGAGATTAATACACTCATCATGGAGAGACACTTAATGGAACCCCTCAGAACACTCCGCCCACAAAAGAAAAGACTCACCTTCAGGAAAAGAAATAGATCACATCACATAACAAGCTCAGCAGTAGACTACTTTCTAATTTCCGAGTCACTCAGAGGAGAAGTCCACAGTGTCAGAATAGGCAAACTTCCTTACAATAATGGTCTAGATCATAGCCCAATCTTCATCAACCTACTCTTCGATCCCGGAGTACAAAAGGGCCCTAGCTTCTTCAAGATAAATAGCTCCATACTAGACACCCCACAAATGAAGGAAGCAATAGCCATCGCGTGCATAGAATCGGAAAGGGAAGGAGCGGACTTCCCAAACTTAGTAGCCAATCTATTCAAAGCAGCATCCACAACGTCCAGAAAACTAGGAGCTCAAAGGAACCAGCGCATAAAGGAATTGGAAGCAACAGTCCAAGTAGCAAAAATAAACCTTATTAGTAACCCCGACCAGACCCTATATGAAGATTCTCTAGCCAAAGCAAGATCAGAACTGGGTATCTGGAATGCATGGAAAGCAAAAGGAGTTAGATTAAATCACCAGTACCCCCGAGCCTGTTTTTGCCGACCCTGAATTTCACTGCGCTCCGAGTTTTGCCGAGCCTGGGTACCACTCTGTTTTCTTTCTGGTACTCTCACGGAAAGAACAAAAAAAAACAAAAAAGAAGAAGAAAAGTTGCAGCTGTGAACCTCAGGAAAAAAAAAAAAAAAAAAAAAGGAAACAAATCTTTGGTCGTGATTGCAGTTGTATACATTCTTGGAAGTGGTAGTGTGAGTGTGCCCTCAATGAGGGCATCTCGCCAGGTTATCAGATTCCAAAAAGAGAATAAAAGTGGAAAAAAATGGGCACGTGGATCCGACCGTGAAAATGGTTGGATACATTCCCCTAAGTGCCAGTGTGATGAGCCTTACAAACACAGCTTGAGCAGATCACGGACAGCTTGAGCAATTCACGGACAGGGGACTCATAAGAAACACACGACCAAGAAAAAAAAGAAAACGGTAACATTCAGAATGTGACCGCCTTACCTGTAAGGTGCATTCTGTGGAGGAAGATTGTGAGCACGGCCTCCTGGACTACCCAGCCCGACATCCTTGCAGTAGAGAAAGCATTTTTTCCCCCCCTTTTTCCGTTCACTCGCGGCACTATAAAATTCATATTTATGGGGCATTGCCGACCCTGTGTCCCACCCCCGAAAAGTTCGGGTACTAGCCAAGACATCGTAATTTCCCAACACTGGCAGAGGTACTGGTGGTTTAAGAGCAGGAATCAGAGAGTGGGAAGAAGGAGAAAGAATGACGAAGTATTTCTTTCAAAAAATTAGAGCAAGAGGAAGGAACTCCGCCATCCATCAACTTAGAGGAGAAGAGGGGCTTACTTCAGACCCAAAAAAAATATTGTCAATAGCAGAAACTTTTTATAAAACCTCTATACCTCCAAAACGGAACAACCCACCCCAGGACCAGTGATACGAGCAAGAGAAACGTTTTCCAAACACTTGGCGAAAACAATTCCCATGGCACTAGCGGAAGAACTAGATGCACCAATTACAAATGAGAAAATTAAAAGAGCCTTGGACTCAATGAAAGTTGGGAAAACCCCTGGTCAAGATGGATTGTCCAAAGAATTCTGGCAAAGGTACTGGGAACTCCTAGGAGAAGAGTACAGTAAGTTCATAAGTGAAGCATGGTCTTCGGAGGGCTTAGGAAAATTTCTCAGTACTAGGATAGTCACCCTGCTATACAAGAAAGGAGATCCCACAGACATTAGAAACTACCGACCTATCACCCTACTAACAGTAGCATACAAGATTCTAGCAAAGTTGCTAGCAAACAGAATTAGGAAGGTCACCAAAAACTGCTTCCACATAGACCAAACAGGCTTCATCCCGGGCAGATTCATATCAGACAACGTAATGACTCTAGCAGAATCAGTAAGATATATTAAGGATAAAAGGTTGAATGTTGCAATCCTCTTCTTCAACTTTGAGAAAGCCTATGACCAGGTCAATTGGGAATTCCTTCAGCAATGTGTGGAAAAAATGGGAGTGGGTCCAAATTTCAGAAAATGGGTTAGAATTTTGTACAACGATGCAAACGGAGTAGTTCAAGTAAACGGTCACATATCTAATCCCTACAAGATGTCTAGGTCCGTAAGGCAAGGCGATCCGCTAGCAGCTCCCATATTCCTGTTTATCATGGAGGCGATAGACTCCTTCCTCAGGAAAGACTCATCCATACAAAGACTCACAAATTTGTCAGAAGACCCAAACAGGCCACACCTCATACCACCCACAATCATGTTCGCAGATGATTTTACCGTTCTCATAAGAGCATCCAACTCCTCCTTTGATGCCCTCACTAGAGCAATGAACGCATAACAACTGGCGTCCGAAATGTGAATCAATTGGCAGAAGACAATACTACAACAGGATGGTGGTTAACAGATGGGAGCATAGACCTCCCTCAAAACGCTCCAGAGGGCATGACTTGAACAGACACAAAAGAACCCTTGAGATTCCTAGGGATACAAATGACCGAGCATGGAGCAGAGGCAGAAATGCCCCCTAGCCTCCTAGCCAACATGACAAACAAACTAACTAGCTGGGGCAAAATACACACCTTTTTACATGGAAAAGCCCTTATACTAAACTCGACCATATTTGCCATGATGTGGTACGTAGCAGCATTTTGGGCGCCAGACCATTCGACATTGAGAAACCTAAGAAGAAAGGCCATAGCTTACCTGTGGACAGGAGATGCCTCTAGACAACACTTCATAACAAAAGTCGCCTGGCAGTACGTCACGAGGAAAAAATGGCAAGGTGGGTTGGGATTCTTGGACACTACTACCCAAATAAAAACCTTACAAACTAAATGGATCATTAAACTCATCTCTAAACCCACCCTACCGTGGAGAGCTTTAGCCCTTGACGGGATACAACAACTACCAACATATAACACCCCAACCAATATGGAAGGGTCATTCTGGGTAATGAGCAAATCATGGGCAATGAAAGGGGGGGACCACAACATAAACGCATTCAAGAAAAGAGTCAAGATTAGGGTTCTGGAAAGGGATCCTTCGAGATTAGAGAGAAATTTTCCCAGCTAAGGTCAGGAAACCATGCAACAAGGAAGAGATACTAAGACAACCCCTGTTCTGTAATCAATGGATTACAAAAGAAAATGGCAACCCATTCACCCTAACCTCAAAAGACACAAAATGGGGAGTATGGTTAGAAAAAGGCATATGGCAGATCAAACACATCTGGGACGACAACACGAAAAAATGGAAACAAGGGAACCAACTCAGACAACAACTCAAGGGCTGCCACCGACTAAACCAGAATTTACAGGAAATCATAACTGCCATCCCGCCAGAATGGGTCTCAATACTAAAAAAGAATAGACAATGGAGCATAGGGGATTGGGCAATCCTATTGAACGAGCCTGATCAAAAACACGCCCTAGCATATTGGGGTAGAGAAAAGGACA